GAAAATATTTTTAGAGCGTGTATTGGTTTGCCACCTCAAAATGATATGTTGTTAGAATACAAAGCTCCGGTATATGGACCTTCTAATGGTATTAGTACTAATGATACCAATGGTGTTGCTAATGGTATTAGTACTAATGGAACCGGTAACGATGATAAAGGTAATGTAGGAAAAAAAAACCATTGAAAAGCGATATGTTGTTAGTTAAATAAAAATTGAGTTGTGCAATTTTGTTAGAAATTAGAATTATAAAAAAAGTATCGACTCGATGGTCAGCGAAAATAATCGAATAAACATTTAATATAATGTTTATTTAAGTAAATCGATGTTGTGCATTAATAGGAAAATGTTTACTGGAATGAATTTGTATATAATGTTGGACCGATTGTTGTTGATAATTTTATGATATTTAAAAGACAAATTAAGATTTTTCGAAATTTTTAAGAAAGTCGCACTTGGAGCTACCATGTTTTAACACATCTTGGAACTTGGGAAATGTTCTGTTTGTTCTCAAAATGTATATACATTTAAATTTTCATAATTATTTGTTGAATATTTGATACAAAACGTATGAATTTTTTATGCAAGATGATTATCAATTGCGGTTAACAGAGGAAATTAATTGGACGTTGGGAAGCAGTTGAAAGTACTTGTGACATTCAATCATTCTCAATCACAAGTAACTCGTACAATAAAAGCATTTAAGATCTAACTACTATTTCTCTCCAAAAAAAAAAATACAAATGAATTAGTTTCTTATTTAATGGATAAATGGGCTAATCTTGATCCTGATTATTTGCAAAAATTAGTAGACAGCCGGGTTAAATGAATTCTTTTTGATGTAAATTTATTATGTAAATTGTAGATGAATATTTGACAAAAAATTTAAATGTGTATGCTCTTTGAGAACGAACGGAATAACGTTTCCTAAGTTCCCAAGATGTGTTAAAACATGGTATCTTAAAATAGCCCCAAAGTGTGACTTTTTCGAAAAATTTTAATTTGTTTTTTAAGCATCATAAAATTATCAATAACAATCGGTCCAACGTGATATACAATCATTTCAGTAGCATTCTCTTATTAATTACAACATCAATTTACTTGATAAACATTACATTAAACGTTTATTCGATTATTTCTGTTGATCATCAAGTCGATACTTTTTTAGGGTGTGTGTATTAACGTTGTTTTTATAATATAATAGAATTTTTGATGTTGAATTTTATACCTGTTTTCTAAGAATAATAAAATATGGCCGCGTAACAATTCTTTCTGATCGTACACCGCCAGATCTTACAAGAATATATCATAATTAATATATCATAAAAAAGTGGAATAA